TCTCGAACCCGCGGGCTCAGGCAATCCACTCACCTCAGCCTCCCAAAGGCGCACGATTACAGGCTGAGCCACATTAAAAATCGTTGGTGGGCTGTCTTTGAAGTTTGTTGGCTTTTTTTTTGTTTGTTTTGGCAAATGGCAAATGATTGCTTTATACCTTTTTAAAGGAGCAATGAGTGTAAAAAAAACTATAGGAAGTAAAAGTAGTTCCATTGCTTTTAATGTGTTCTACTGTGTAAGTCATAATTCAGACAAATTTTCTCTTTTGTTTTTTAGGCAAATCGTACTTGCCCAATTTGCCGAGCTGATGCTTCAGAAGTGCATCGGGATTCAGAATGACCAACCTAAGAGCACAACTTTAGTTTGGGTGTTCCTCATCACATGTATATATGGACTATCCATTGAACTTAATCTGTGTGGCTTCCAGCCCTCCCTTTACCAAAAGGGTCAATGGACCTTTCTTTGCACTGTGTGACTTAATCAACTATAAAAGCTTACAATTAGTCTTCACAATTATGGGATTGTTATACTAACCGTGTGATTGGAACTCCAAAGACTTTTTCTTTAGCTTAATTTTGTGTGTGCACTAACATTCCCTGGTTTTTGTGTGATCATTCCGAGTGTTGCTGCAAGATTACAGTGGACGTGATCTTTTAGCATGTGCTTTTATAAAAAGTGGTAGCTACAGATGATATAGCAATCTACCTTATATAGAGCCTTCAGAAACTGTGAGTGGAAATGGATGCAGCGTATGGCTGTTGGTGATAAATGTATCTGTGTGTGTGAGAGAGTGTGCACAACTACTTGTGTGAGGGCATGGTAGCTAATGTGTGTATGAGATCCTATATACCAGCATGTACCAAGAATGTGTGTGTAGTTTTAATTATGCTGCAATGTATAATCTGGTGTGTTATTTAAACAGCACTAGTACTGTACACTGGTTTTTCCCCTTGTGTTTGCTGTTGCACACTGATTGCTAAGGGTGCGTCAATTATAAGCATTGAATACTCCATGCCCTTCCCTCCCAATGAATGGAATGAGAAAGCCTTCCTTTGCTTCAGGCAGCTGTCACCTTCTCTTTATTGGTGGTCCTAAATGGGTCACTTAAGAAAAAAGTGTAACAGATTCTCACTCCATGAACCCGATTTTTTGATTCTGTTGTGAAAAAGAAATTTTTAAATCTCCAACTTGCTGTTTCCAAAAAGAAGGTGCAATATAATATATCATCAGCTAGCAATATTAGCATTTCAATCAATGATTTGAATGTTGATACTTTCTTGTTTTTTCCTTTACATTTCCAGTAAGTGTCTTACAGAAAGTACCTGTGATTTTTCTTTTTTAATGTTTAGATTTATAGTCTATTCTGAAGATATTTGATTAATATATTCTAAGAATACCACTGGTCCCATGAAGTCTCACCTCATTGACTTCTACCAGAACAAAATCTGTTAACTCAGCTTGACTTCTGGTATGTATGTTCTGTGTTCAAGCTCCAGTTCTGAAAGTTGTCTAGTTGTTCCTCCCTCAGTAAAAGTACTTCTCATCGAAACCCTTGTTTCAGGATGGATCAAGTGCTGTGACAGCCCGTGTTCCTTAGACCTGCTTTGCTTTAATGTTTTACTGCTTTTCCTTTTAATTTTTGTTTGAATGAGAAAGTTTAATACAACAGGTGTCTAGAATACTTGCAGTATAAATGAAGATTTGATTTTTGTATAAAAATAATGCTGTTAAACAGGAATTGACCTTCTTATAGTTGACCTGAAATAATACATAGCTGTGTGGGTTTTTTTAGTAGGTTCATTGAACGTAATTCGGATTGGTTAAAGTCATTTTTCCAACGACGTTTAAATTACTTTCTCATTCTCTCAGTGTCTTCACCATTGTCTGCCCCTTGCAGTTGATGTCATTGCTTTGTTTGCAGTCGTTCAAGCTGCATTATTCCAGTCAGGACTGTGATAACTCGCTGCCAGCCTCACTCAGCTTTCAGTTCGTTCTGTGTCCGTTTTCTACTCAGACAGTGTTAACTAGTTGTTACTGCCATGCTGCTTGCCCTCCTTTAAAGTCTCGATAAGCTCATCACAGCCTAGAGTTCATTGAAGTCAGTTCAACACAGAAGCACAATTTTGCCCTGTTCTAGACACTGTTGCCTCTATCTAGTCATACAAGTAGGATTTTGCATATTTTCTGTTTGCCCCTGGATTTGTCAGTGCATCAGAAATACATCTAAACAGTGGTAAACTGCACATATTACTTTTAAATCATTAGGCTATCACCCATGTGTTCCTGACGAATAAAAAATATGTTAAAGACCAAAATTTTTGGCATAATAATCAGCTGCATACAAATCACGTATAGTTTAATCTTTATTTTTTTTAATGAAAAAATCATGTTTAAAATGGCAAAAGCTCATCTTATATGTGCTCTTTTTATATAGCTGCAAAAATTTATATCTGTACAGATCTAATGTAACACTACTACACTCAGTATTCATTTTATTGAAGCATGCAAGTAAAGCACTTTTTCTAATTTATATAGAGATACCTAATTAACAAGACACATTGTACTAATGACTAGGAAAAGTAACCTTTTCTTCCCTCCCTTTGGCTGAATTTTTGTCATAATGTCCCTTTTTCAGTAAATTTTTGAGAGGCAGTTGGCAATTTAGGAGGCAGCAGGGTCTGTTTTGGTAAAATCCTGAATTTATTTGTTGCACTCTTGTGACTGGATCTCTCTTTGGGAATATCTTTTCTTTGCATGGGGCTCTCAGAGATGTGTGCAGACTTGCTTATTCAGTGGTTAGTGCGTATTTGGAGCACACTTGCTTGTGTTCTGACCAGCTCGGGCTAGCCACAGGAAGCAGCACCTTTGTGGCTAGCAAAAGAGCAAGAGCAGTTGATTCATGCCCAGCCATTGTCACCTCGGCCGATGCACCGGATAGCAGGCAGATGTTGGTTTGTTGCCTTCATCCTCTTTCCTCCTAAAACAATATTGGCTTTACCACCTTAACTCAGCTGTGGGTTGTTTGTGGGTTCTTGTTTGATTTTTTTTTTTCTTTTTGTGGCATGAATTGTCATCTTTGATATTTTTTAACCCCCATCCCCCCAAAAAGATGAGTCAGGCCTCCAGGTATCAAGATCTCATATTAGGATCTTCTGTCCTGAATTTTTTGAGCAAAATCTGGAAAATGTGAAAGCATACTTAGATTTTATATACTCTCTGAAATACGATTTGCTAAGATTCTTAAACTTGGGCCTCTTATAATAATTTTGAATGAGATCTACCAACTCACTTGTATTTTTCACAGATATCTTCAGGCCCTCATGAGAAAGCTATTCTCCTCCTGTTGGTACATTGAGTTACCTCATTTTGCTGTTTGTTTCAGATTATGAAAGCTCACAGGGGTGTTTTTTGGAATCATTTGCTGAGTCATTTCCTCAAATCATATTCCATTGTATCAGTTAACATATAGTTTTAAATGTACGTATTATAAATATCTGTAACCAAATCATTTGAAGGCTTGATAAATTTTTAACAAAGTTTGTACATTTTTTATGAAAGTTACTAGTAATGCTTTACTAAGTAGTGCAATGAATTTTTATTTTTAATCCCTGTGCCCAATTTTGGAGTTGAGAGGGTTGTTGGTAATAAATGTATGATGTACACTTAAAAACATTTGTTGTGTTTCATGTCACTGTGTTAGGGAAGGGGAAGGGTTGTGTGTGCATGATCAGGTGTGGTGGGCAGACATCAGCAGGAAGATAAAGCTGAGTTGAACTACTAGCAGTCAGACTTATTTTTTATATTCTATTTCAGTTTTTATATTTGTGCAAACAACTTAGAAACCCAAAAGCAACTAACATTATAGCATATGGTACATATATATGTTGTTAAAAAGACGAAGAAGATGAGAGTGTAGCCACAGGTGGTATATGCATATTGAACAGTCCAGGTACATAAGTAGGTCACTAGATTTCTTTCTGTATATATTAACCATAAGATGTGAGGACAAGATTAACAGTCAAGTTTGTCCACATTAGCTACAGTTTACTTTCAACTTATTGTTAACATAATGTGGAAAGTGGAGCCTCTGCTTGTCAGTTTCCATATATGTTTGTATAATAGCTTTCCTTTGACCAAAAAAAAAAAGGAAGAAAATAAAAATCTAATTCAGGGGTCTGTGGCCTGTTTGGGAACTGGGCCACACAGCAGGAGGTGAGCGAGCAAAGCATCTGTATTTACAGCAGCTCCCCGTTGCTCAAATTACCACCTGAACTCTGCCTCAGTGGAGAATTTGGTTCTCAGGAGCATGAGCCCTATTGTGAACTGCACAGGCAAGGGATCTAGGTTATGGGCTCCTTATGAGGCTCTAGTGCCTGATGATCTGAGGTGGAGCTGAGGCGGTGATGCTAATCGCTCCAAATACAGATTAACGTTAGCAATGAGGTTTAACTGCACAGAGACCATAGTCAATTGCTTGCAGACTCATTTCAAAACCTTATCAGTGAGTGGCAAGTGAGTTGATGTACTTCAGTTGCATAGCTGCATCTGATTGCAGGCTTTAAGTCGGAATCTGACACTTTATTTACCACTTCCTCACGCACCTCTTGCTTTTATGGTGAGTTGTATAATTATTTTATTATATATTACAATGTAATAATAAAAATAAAGGACAATAAATGCACTTGAATCATCCCAACCCCCCCCCCCCCCCGCAAAGTCTGTGGAAAAATTGTCTTCCACGAAACCAGTCTCTGATGCCAAAAAGGTTGGGGACCAGTGTCCTAATGCGTATGCTGGCTGTGTGAGAAGATGATGCCCTCCAACTAGCTCCAGCACTCATCTGATAGAGGCATTCAGAAAAGTGAACAAGTCCTGGTCTTTTTTCCCCTCCTTTTTCCTACATACTTTGAAGAGTACTTGTGTTGAACTTCGAGTATCTCAAGAAACCTGCAACTTGTGCTGTCTTATAACAGAGGCATTTACTGCTCAGTAAAGATCCACACACACATCCCAAGTTACCCTACTTACAATAAGGCAAGGAGGGTTATGCCACTGGTTCTGGCAAAGCATAGGCTTTGTGGTCTTTCCATGTAAGGAGTGTGTTAAAAACCAGCCCTCTTTTTCTCTGCTGAGATTGTGACAGTCCTGAGTCCTGAGTCATTGCCTAATGGAGCTGTTGTAGAAAACTACTGGACCCTCAGCAGCTAGTTCCATGAGCAATAGAGGTTCTTAAATGTGAGATGTGGACACTGTATCAGGACTTCATCCCTGCTGATTTGCTTCCCCTTTTTATGTCTTTAATCTTACTCTAAGTAGGTTTTTTGTGTTTTTTTTTTAGTTGGAGTCTCACTCTGTCACCCAGACTGGAGTGCAGTGGCTGCTCCCGGCCACCGCAGCCTCGACCTACTGGGCTCTTGGCAGTCCTTCCGCCTCAGCCTTCCAAGTAGCTGGAACTACAGGCGTGCTACCATGCCCAGCTAATTTTTTGATTTATTGTGGAGATGAGATCTCGCCAAGTTGCCCAGACGGGTCTCAAATCCGCGGGCTCAGGCAATCCACTCACCTCAGCCTCCCAAAGCGCGGGATTACAGGCTGAGCCACCGAGCCCGGCTCTAAGTAGGTTTTGATAGTGCTAATCCACAAGTGTTTTATATGTGGTAATAAACATCACTGGCTGCAATTAATTCTTTTTTTTTCTTTTTTTTTTTTTTGAGTTGGTCTCATTTTGTTGCCCAGGCTGGAGTGCAATGGCACGATCATGGTTCACCACGGCCTTGAACTGGGCTCAAGTGATCCTCCTCCCTAGTGGCTGGGACTACAGTCATGTGCCATCATGCCTGGCTAATCTTTTGATTTTATGTAGAGATGAGGTCTAGCTATGTTGCCTTGTCAGGTCTGAAACTCCTGTACTCAAGCAGTCCTTCCACCTTGGCCTCCCAAAGTGCTGGGATTACAAGTGTGAGCCACCACACCTGGCCACAGTTAGTTCTTAATAGATCACAAGCCCTTTGTATCAGAGGATAACTTTTTTTTTTGAGTTGGAGTCTTACTCTGTCGCCCAGACTGAAGTGCAGTGGCCGTTCCCGGCCACTGAAGCCTTGACCTGCTGGGCTCCGGAGATCCTTCCACCCCAGCCTTCCGAGTAGCCGGAATTACAGGCGCGCGCTACCACGCTTGGCTGATTTTTTTATTTGTTGTGGAGATGAGATCTCGCCAAGTTGCCCAGGCGGGTCTTAAACCCGCAGGCTCAGGCAGTCCACTCACCTCAGCCTCCCAAAGCGTGGGATTATAGGCTGAGCCACCAGGCCTGGCTCAGAGGATAACATTTTTAAGAAAGTGGTCACATCACATCCAGTTTCAGTTCTCTTGTGTACTTTAATGAACCGAGTAGACAATGCTGCTGTCCAGTAGAAGTGTAATTAGCTACATAAATAACTGCAAAATTAGCCGGGCTCGGTGGCTCAGCCTGTCATCCCGCGCCTTTGGGAGGCTGAGGCGAGTGGATTGCCTGAGCCCGCGGGTTCGAGACCCACCTGGGCAGTGAGACCTCATCTCTACAATAAATAAAAAAATCAGCCAGGCGTGGTAGCGCATGCCTATAGTTCTGGCTGCTTGGAAGGATGAGGCGGAAGGATCGCTGGAGCCCAGCAGGAGAGGCTGCGGTGGCCGGGAGCGGCCACTGCACTCCAGTCTGGGCGACAGAGTGAGACTCCAACTCAAAAAAAAAAAAAAAAAAAAGTTAAAGGCCAGGCGCAGTGGCTCAAGCCTAACAGAGTGAGACTCCAACTCTAAATAAAAAAAGTTGAAATTGTAATATATTTTGTTCAAGCCAACTTACCAAAATATTTCAATATGTAATCAGTATTAAATTACAGAGGTTGGGCATGGTGACTCATGCCTGTAACCCCAGTACTTTGGGAGACTGAGGCAGGCGAATTTCTTGAGCCCAGGAGTTTTGAGATCACCCTGGGCAACATAGCAAGACCTCATCTCTATTTTTAAAAAAATTACAGAAATATTTTGTGTTTTCTTATACCAAGTCTTTGAAATCCAGTGTGTGTGTTACATTTATAGCACATTTCAATTTGACTAGTCACATGTGGATGGTGGCCACCACATTGCATGGCACAAGTCTGCACCAGGACTATATACCAGGTTATCTGGTTTCTAACGAATGTTATTGTTATACCTCATGACTTCTTAGTTTTATCATTGCATACCTGAACAAACTGCAATATGATTTTAAAACATTTTACTCGTTATATTTTTAAATGTAACTTTTGTTTCTATGACACATTAAAAAATTATCATTTAAAAAGCCAACTTAACTGCACGGGCATATTTATTTGCTTATTGTGAAACTGCCCTAGATAACATTTAAGAACCAGGCTCCTTGTTTGACAGCAAATTCCCAAATTATACATTAGATTAGCACCTTCTAGATTCACAGCTCTTTAAAATAATTTGGCAATCAAAATCCAGCATTCTGAAAAGCTGAGGGTAGGAAACTTTAAACCCATTTGGGAAGCATGCCGTGGGTCCCTCTTGAGATGGCTCTGCAGTGCACATGCTCTTCGCCTTTGTCGTGTGTCTCGGTCTCCCCACCTGGCAGGAAACGGAGAAGACTAGAGGGGGAAAAAAACACAGTGACAGGCAGGAACATGGAATGTCAATCTAAAACTATGCTGCAGAATCAGTACGAATGAGAGGAATCAGCACTGAGAGAGGAATTGAATTGTTCTGGAAGAAGGACTCCACATCCCCTTCAAAGTTCTGGTTCTCGGTCTATGCAAGAAAACAGGGCATTGTGGCTAGTTAATAACCTGTAGTCTCACACCCAGCAGCTACCAGGACCCAACCAGCCTTGTCCACAAAACATGTTTACAAGGTGCCTTTACCTTCCTTTCAGTGCTAGAATCTCTTCCCCAAAGACTTTTTCCTTAAGAGCAAACTTGTAGGCCTCCCTCTTTCCATTGCCCCAGTTCTTTTATGTCTGAATGAGTCATTTTTATATTATCCAACTTTCTTGGTAGTTAGCGTTATATCCTCTGATAAGAATGCTCCAAATGTGTGCTGAGATAGGTTTCTGACAGCACAAACTTAATAAACATTTCTGGCCTGGCACGGTGGTTCATGCCTGTGATCTGAGGCTGAGGTGAGAGGACTGCCTGAGCCCAGGCGTTCGAGACCAGCCTGGGCAACTTGGCGAGACCTCATGTCCACAATAAATCAAAAAAGTTAGCTGGGTGTGGAGGTGCACACTTGGAAGGCTGAAGCTGAAGGATCACCTGAGCCCAGCAGGTTGAGGCTGCAGTGGCCCATAAGCATGCGATTGCACTCCAGCCTGGGCGACAGAGTGAGACTCCGAATCAAAAGGAAAAACAAAAAATTTCTGTAGTCAGTGCAAGCAGTATGGTATCCACACATGCTAGCTGGTTCTTTTTCTCTTCTGCTTTTGGACATTAGTAGTGGACTTCAGCTAAATCAGGAGAGAATAACCTTGACTCTTTTATCAAAATAAGGCCAGCCTTGCCCATAAAAAGTGTATCACAGCCGGATGAGATAGATGGCTCACGCCTGTAATCCCAGCACTTTGGAAGGTGGAGGCGAGAGGAATGTCTGAGTCCAGGGGTTCAAGACCAGACTGGGCAACTTGATGAGATCTTGTCT